CCCCCTGTGCCTTGGTGGTTGAGCATTGACCGCTGAACCAGGAGGTCAAGGTTCCATTCTATACGCCTATGTTGGGGGCTGGATCCCCAGTGGGGGGCGTGCAGGAGGCAGCCGATCAATGATTCTCATCATGGATGTTTCTCTCTCTCTCCTCTCCCTCCTTGTCTGATATGGAATTAAAAGAGGGCATATGTTCCAAATTCTCTGAGGTTATCCTCATTGATCCATTCCATAAGGCTATCGGAATTAATCCTGACACCCGGCGCGTCACCAAACCAGCCCACAAGCACAGGGAGATGCGAGGGCTGACATCCGCGCCAAGAGCCGCGGCCCTGGGAGGGGCCCCAGGTCCCACCCCGCTATCGGTGGTTCGCCGTGCGGCTTGGAGAAGGCGCAATGCTCTCCAGCTCCACCGTCACCGCTAATATAAGTGATGTTTGTGAAATCCTTACCTAATCGACAATTTAGGACAGTCAGAAAAAGAAAAGGTCCTGAACGAAGGTGGCTCATTACCACTTCTGGCTTTGCAAGAGGAAATGTCAGTCATCTTTAGCTGAACTGTTTACACTCTATCCCTTGCACAACATCAAATAAAATCAATGAATATCTGTGTTAATATTTATTACTTAATTCCTTCAATAATTTTATCTTGTGTGTGCAGTAAAGGCAGTGAAGCATCACTTTAAATAAAATCAGGATTTCACTGTTTCACCAAGGGCAAAACCCATCAAGGCCACCAAGTTAAGCCTCTAAAAGTTACATGCATATGTTCCAAGTTAAAAACTCAAAATCAGTAATATTCCGATACGCATGTTAACTTGTGATCAGAATTTTACTTCTTAATTCTTTCTATTTTAATCCCCGAACAATGTAAGAGCACAATTTTATGCAGCGTCCAAGACTGGGAAATCTAAATATCCCAGACAATTCGCTGTAATCTGCGCTTCATTTCAACGTACACATCCGTTTAACAAAAATGTCTTCATCTCCAAATGCATCGAAATGAAGTCACATGTGATAAATGAATTTCCTTTTGAAAATTACTTCTCCACTTTAGGTTAGAAACGCCCATTTAAGGAAAACCCAGAGATAAAATGGGTACTTTTCCTTTAAGACAACGAGACAATATTCTCCCTTGAGCGAGCGCTTCTCCCCGCACAGGAGATTTTCATTTGGGGCAAAAGGGTAATATTCCAGATTAAACGACAACTATGCTAAAGTAAGGGGGGAGAATTCTCCAACGTCAACCAAGTGCAGCACTCAACTTTTGAATTCACTCGGAGACTCGGACGCTACTTTAAAGGGGCATTTCCAGAGCGTTTAAGCGGCTAAATCTTAAAGGCAAAGTCCGGCTAAATTTAGCACAAACAGAAAAACGACCATTAAGTAAAACCCAGTTCCACCGACTAGGCATCTCCCCAGGCCCGAAAACGGAAATCGCCCAGTTTCTGTTCTGCAGACCGGGGACCCCGCAAGGCCCTGCCGCCCCAAGGGCGCCTGCGCAACATCCAATTAAACCCTTCCTCGGCTAGTCGACGGGAACGGCTTTGAAATGACTGCCAGGTTACGCCTCACTTTAAAATTCATTAGGTATGACAAAGCACACCTGAACGACCACTCACCGAAGTGGTCCTAAATGCAAGCGACAGGATTTAAGCTTCCTCTCGCGACTTATCTGGTGCTGCCGGAAGCGGAACTAACCAAGTCGTTAAAGAGGGGAGGGGCTTATGGGGGTGGAGCTCCGGTCAAAGCAGGTTAGGGCGGAACCTTTGGCTCCTGCGGGAAATTGTTCTGCCCGGCGAGGTGTCCGAGTGAGACCCGAAGCGGGCGGGCGAGGAGGCGTGGCGGAGGTTCTCCGCTGTAGTAGTTCCTTGCACTACCTCCATGTGGCTCTTCTGTTACTGAAGAAAGAGGACCCGCGTCCACGCTGACAGCTGGAGCCTCTTGACCAACACCTCACCCCTGCCCTCGGGATTCAAAGGGAAACCGAGATCTGTATGGTGTGGGCCACCTCCAGCCGCTCGCGTGACAACCGCAGCCGTGGCAGGTGAGGGTCCCGAGGCCGAAGAAAAGCCGAGATGCGGAACCTGGTCGCCCAGGGTTTGCAGCCGGCCGCCGCCGGGCAGTTGCTTTGTCTCCCGCCGAGCTCTGCGGAGCCGGAG